CCTGAGGTCCCTTCTGTGATTCTATGAAAAGACTAAATATAAACCAAGAAATGTAGTTGATTAAAATTACTTTTGGAACACTCCTGACACTTATTTAAGGACAACAAATCTAGAATAGTAATACAAGTTTATTCACTGTATGGTTACTGCATATAGACTCCATGAAAGTCTAATCATACAGATTTATACTTTTAAATGATGTTCCATCCACACATTTCAGTTTCTGTGGATATCATTCACCTAGTTCTGGGAAAGCAAGACAAAGGTGGTATGCTGCTTCTGGTGCTGTTTTGGAAAAAAGAAAAGGTGAAGCCACTTTTCTCCTTATCACCCTAAACATCTGTAGAGAGGAAATCAGAAGATCGTTAGATAAGAAGTGAAGAAATACAAATCTGTTTCAACTGCTTATGAAAGAATAGGACTCTCTTACACATGGGGGAGCCAGAGCACTCCTTTGACTAAGATAAATTACAGCCAAAAATCTCTCACATTTTCTAAGGGAGCATTGGGCAGGGTCAGGCAAAGCCATGAATGCCTAGACACGCAGACAAAGGTGATGGTATGAAAACTTTTCAATCACTTGCCAAATTGAATTGTTTTGTTGTAGTCTTCTCCGTTTGCATGTTGCACTGACTACATACATGGGAGCTGCATACTGCAGGAGCGGTTGTGGGGCTGAGCTTTAGGGCTGTGCGAAGCTTCAGTAGCTGATTTGATCTGGAGGAGATTTGGCCCGATTCAGGGAGCAAATCTCCGAATCTGAATAGAACTGGGAGACCCATTAAAAGGTCTGAATTGAATCGGAAGCCTCTGAATTGATTAGGAGATTCGGGCAGTCCCCACTCACTGCTGCAGGAAGCTGGACCTGGGCTCTGTACTGCTAAGTAAGGGGCAGAGGACCATGGGGAGACCCCCACCTGGCCCAATCCCCTGCCAGCTCCCTCAGCTCCATCCCTCACCTCTGCTCTCCCAGCCCCCCCACCATGGCTGCCCTGCCCAGCCCCAGCATCCCAGCACTTACATTGTTTAAAAAAAATAAAGAAAAAGAAGTCCCACACTCACCAGCTACAGCAGTGGTGATCGGGGCCTGTAGGGGCTTGTAGAAGAGCCCCCCCCCCACGCAGTGTGGGGCCACAGAGATCACCCCCCCCCCCCCCC